GATATCCACTCTGCAAAGCAAGACACCAAGCTCCATCTTGAAAGCGACACGGTGAAAGAAGCGATGCGCACGCTTCAGCTGTTCGGTATCGAGGTCGCTGAAGTACTTCGCAAAGGCAACAAACGTGTTAACGCTACTTTGGTTCACGAACTTTGCCGAGAACTTCATGAAATCGAACTTGCGTTCAGAAACCGTCTTTTGGGCTTGTTGGAGGTCTTCAGTCTCAGAGACGTTGCCCTCTTCCTCTCCATCCTCGCCTTGCTTTTCAGCTTTCTTCTTCTTGATCTTTCGGGCTCGCCGTTTCGATCGGATTTGCATATCAACGTTCTGCTTCGCATAGCGCTCAAGCATCCGCAGGAAGACATGAGAAAGCTCTGTAACTGCATCAAGATAGCCAAAGCCTTGATCTTTGTATGACCTTAGGATCATGACTATCCTGTCGTGTGTTGACTCTTCGTAGAAGATACGATTCTGAATGTTCTCGGCGATCTCTTGGTCTTCCTCGAGGCCTGACTCGGACATCTCATGCACAGTGAGCAAGATTTGCGTGAAGCATTTCAGCCCAGCGTTAAGGTCTCGCCATGCCTTCTCATCTTGACTCTTCTGCATGAAGCGGTTGAGTAGAATGAAGGTCTCCTGATTCATGACTTCGGCTACTAGTCCGTAGCTCTCATCCTCAGCAGACAGAACTTCAGGGCTCTTCGGGTCTGCGGCCCTCTCCTTCATCGTCCGCCGCCGTGCGCACTCTGCTCGTAGGAACCACGATACGAGGTAGAAGAACTGCCTGGAGTGTCGTGTTTCCACACGCTCCGTTTCACGCTCGATAGCTTTCCGCAGATGCAGGAACAGAGGGTTGAAGGACGAGTCCAGGAACTCCTCGACGAACGCTTTGATGTGTTTCCGCGCAGAAGAGGTCAGTGGTACCGGGAGATCGAACTCCTCCCTTTCTTCATCGCCGGCTTGCTTCTTCCCGGGACGACGGGGTTTATTCCACTTCTTTGTATCATCCATCTTCTGCATGCTAGCCTGAGCCTTCCCTAGCACGTCCTGCCCGGATATAGTTGTGACCTTCTCGTCGTCCCGCTTCATCCAGATCATCGTTCCGAATCGGTTATGCCGGGTCGGTGCGTTGCGGGCGTAGCCTGCAAGCATGGCCTTTTCTTTCTGGATCAAGCCCTTGAGCTCGTCCGTGTTCTTGGTGTTAAGCTTCTTGTCTTCCATGAACAGCTTCTCAGCATCGATGCCCTTGAGCAAGAAGAACAGGATTTCGAGGATTACAACGTCTTGAGTAACAAAGTCCTCCCCGATGCTTGACGCTATACTCAGAAGAACCTGGAATATATCCTGCTCGTGGAAAGTATCAATCGTTGCAGATCGGGATACTTCAGCTTCGTCGGTGTCCATGTGTGCATTGTTCGGGGGCGCGAGCATGGCGATGTTGCGTATGAAGTATAGTGCGATTCGGATGATACCTTCGTCTCGTGGTGTGCGTTCTCGGAGGGGTACGGCCATGGAAGGGAGCGCGATCTTGACAGCAGTCTGCAGGGTTCTGTCTCGGTCGAATTGCAGAATAGCACGTTTGTAGCCAATTTGGGCGAGCCCGATATAAGGCCCATGTCGGTGGTGGTTTACGGTCGCTTCGGTGGGGTCGATCTCGTTGGGCCAAGTCAAAGGCACGAGAAGTTCCACTGCAGTTGTCAGTACAGTCTCAAGAGGTAGAATAAATTCTCTCACATGTCGCGACCGCAATCTTGTGCTTCCAGGCGCTGTCCATGACAGTCGGTGATATCTTGGCCAGTATCTCAAGCAAATCGCCCTTTACGAGGTTTGCTTCGGCCATGCATCGTGCTACATCGCGTCGATTGTACTGCCCGTCGGCGAACTTCAGCCATTTCCGTAGGTCCTTGAGACAGAGCAGGGCGTCGTGTCCGAGTGCATACGTGCCGTCATCGCCAATACCACCGAGCTGATTGTACGTCAGTAGCCATTGTGTCAGTGGAAGGGGATACTTACAGCAGATATGAGACTAGAGACGTGGGCGCGCACTTCTGGGTTCACAGTATCCTGCGCCCAGTCGTCCAGCGTTGTCTGAGCCATTGTCGTGGTTGATGCTCAGATTGCCCGCCGGTGTCGCGATGGCCCAAAAGACGCGTCGACGCGTAAAGTGCCACAAGCGGGACAAACCGCGCAAATCCGCCAAGACAGGGCTGATCTTCGCGCCTTCCCGCCGCCAGTCAACGTCATGCCTCGGCTAGCCCGCCGCGGTTCTCATCGGCCTGGGGAAATGTCGTTCTGCATCACATGTTTGATCGCGCATCTTCCACAGTTCGTGCGACCCTTCGATTAAATACACACGATGTTCTCCGTGGCCTCAAGACAAGTCGCCCGATGCGCTCTACGGCAGCAATGCCGTGCCTTCAGCTCGACTCCCTCTTTCGGTGCTGCCGCTGAGGTCAAGAAGCTGGGTGTTATTGGAGCAGGCCAGATGGTATGCATCAATGCACCAACCCGACAGGTGTCAATCTAACATGATCAGGGCCTCGGAATAGCTCTTGTAGCAGCACAGAGGGCCTCAGTACCGGTCCGGCTGATTGACAACTCCCAAGCATCAATCGACAAAGGCCTGAAATTTGCGGACAAGCTCCTCGAAAAGGATGTTGGAAAGGGCAGAATCTCGAAAGATGACGCCGCAGCGGCAAGAGAGCGATTGACGTCCAGCACATCGATGGACGATCTGTCAGACGTCGATTTTGTTATCGAGGCCGTACCAGAGATCCCAGACCTCAAGCACAAGATCTTTTCGCAACTCGCGCAAATCTGCCCATCGCACGCCATCCTAGCCACCAACACCTCGTCCATATCGATTACCAAGATCGCGGCGAGCACTACCACCGACCCAACAGATCTCTCGGCTCCATCACGCGTCATCAGCACACACTTCATGAACCCAGTACCCATCCAGAAGGGCGTCGAGATTATCACCGGTCTTCAGACCTCGCAAGCTACCGTCGAAACCGCAATCGCGTTTTGCGAGAAGATGGGAAAGATACCGTCCAAGTCCGCCGACAGCCCCGGTTTCCTTGCAAACCGTATCCTTATGCCGTACATCAACGAGGCTGTCATTTGCCTCGAGACGGGTGTAGGCGCCAAGGAGGACATTGACAGCATCATGAAGAACGGAACGAATGTACCCATGGGTCCACTGCAACTAGCGGACTTCATCGGTATTGACACTTGCCTGGCGATCATGCAAGTCTTGTACCACGACACGGGTGATTCTAAGTACAGGCCCGCAGTGCTGCTCAAGAAGATGGTCGATGCAGGCTGGCTGGGAAAGAAGAGTGGTAAAGGATTTTATGATTACTAGAAGAAAGAATATGAAAATGCGGGCACTATCGCACACAATCGTATACCTGTGCTGCGAAGTCATGCCCTGCAACCCGTCGTGCCCATGACATAGCCTAAAGGTGCTCTCCATCAAATCCCATAAGCTCACACCCCCTACCCTACTAACCATCGAATATCATCCTCCGAGAAGTCACCCATATAGTCACCCATATTTGGGATCTCTGTCTTCATCGAAGGTCCACCGTTGATCTCCATCTCATCCTCATCGTGCGCACCCATCAGCGGCACCGCCGCTCTCGCCAAACACATAAGCTCACGCTCCATCTCCTCCTCCTCTTCCCTCCCAGTACAAACAGCCCAAGTCCCCTTCCCCCACAACTTCTCCTTCAACCAAGCCATCTTCCCCCTCTTCACGTCATCCTCTTCCATCTCCGCCTTCAACCCAGTTCCAAACTCCAGCTCGCCCCTGTCCCCTCTCTCCTCGTCCTCCATCTCCACGCCACTGAGTCCCAGATCGCCCATGTCTTCACACTTGTGGATGAGCGGTGTGACACCTAGTTTCACTGACTCTAGAAAGTGGGAGTTGCGTATGTTGTTTCTGGCTTTCTTTTCGGTAGGGAAATAGTAGGTTTTATTGATGGGGGTGCGTAGTTGTGCTCGCGTTCTGAAATGTTGGAAGAAGGGCTTCTTCTTCTTCTGCGCGGCGCTGGTGTTTGGCGGCGGCTGTGGGAGTGATTGGGGTGTTGGGAGGTATTGGGTTTTGGCATGGTTTTTCGTGGGTGGGTGAATGGTGAGGCGGCATCCACGCTTGGGCTTCTTTGGCGATGGTGTTTTGGGCGGGTGAATGATGAGGCGGCATTTACGTTTGGGCTTCGCGGCTGATGGTGTGGTGGGTGGTGGTGAGGCTTCCTCGCCCATTTGCGGAGGCGATTTTGCGACCATGCGGTCGGGCGAGAGGAAATGCTTCATGATGCTTGATTTTACGGTTTTGTGTTGGTGTTGGATGGTTTAGTTGGGATTCAACTTTCTTTGCAGAGTTTTAATGTAGAGGTTTGGTGTGATGATATGGTCTTTGGAAGTGGACATGGACATAATTTATTTATACCGCTAGCTCGATATAAAATATGTGAGCGCGCATGGAAACCAAGGTGCGCACATGGTAAGCGGAACTAGTCATAGCAGTACCATAGTTGCATTGCTGAGATATTACGTTTCTTGCCATATACATCTTATATCACTGGCCGAGAACTTCGAAGTGGACACTCACGTACAACCATATCTGGTACCATAGTTGCGTCGCGTGGATACTACATTTATCTGCCATATACATTTTTCATCACTAGTCACAAATGTCAAGGTAGACCCTTATGTGTAATCAAGTACCATAGTTGCCTTGACTAGTCTACATTTTTCTACCCCAACACCGCCAATCAGCCAAACCCTTAAAATAATCGCAACGCTTCCCAGCCGCAATCGTCGCAGTCACTGAGCCCAAACGCCGTACTCCTCGAAACAAATGCCGCAGTCCCCAACCCAATGTCGTAATATGCTCATCAACCGCTCGACTCGGAGCCCACCACCGCACCCTGACTCATCACACTCCATCCTGCCCAGTGGCCTCGGCAAACCGATCCGTCTTCGCCTCCCTCCAATCAGGCAAGTTTTTGTCTTTGCCTTGACGTTACTCCCGGATCGCCTCCACTTTCAGGAACAACCCTCGACTTGCGCTTGAGACTTTTGCGGTCACGAGGTTTTCCATTTGAAGAGAAAGCTTCCTTCGCTAATTCTTTCGCGTACTCGCTTTCAGTGATCTTTCTGTTTGGCTCCAAAAGTGCGGCAATTCTGACTTGTTCGCGGTGCTCGGCTTGTATTTGACTGAGTGACTTTGGCAGCTTTTGTGCCGGTTGAAGTGGGAGCGTCGCGAGTAAAGCGTCGACACGGGCGGACCTGCTGATTGGCGGTCTGATGATGTTGTCTGACGGTGCTGCAGTTCCGTCGGTGTAATGCCTCATAAGCTTATTGTTGTAGGCAGCGTTGATTTCTTTTAGCTGAGGCGGAGGCCTTTGAAGGTTGGGTACCCAGCGTTTTGCAGCGGCTTTTCGGATCTTGAGCTTGCGCTCTTCCTCTTTGGAGATGTCTTGCTGAGGGATTTCGAGCTTCAGACGCATTGTAGACTTGTCTGGTGATGATGGTGTGTGAAAAAACTGAACACCCTGCAGTCTACGTTGACGTTGTGTCACCTACTTTACACGCTTTTGACTCGGTGTAGTCTGCAGACCTGTTCAGTTTTAAAAGTCCCTTTGTGTAAGGTGGGTGTCTCGATTGGTGAGGCGCTGCGGGAGAGGTAAGCGAGTGTTGTAAGGAACCTCGAGCCTAGACACTGTGAGTAGGAGACTAGGAGTCTTATACCGATATTTGCGCACACTTAGCTTAGAGGTTAGCGAGAATTTTGCGGAGCGTGAGCATGAGGTAATTGGGGGTTTTCCAGGCAGCGAATTGAAGTGTATAGGTTTACAACGAAATGACACATCTTGATCACCCGTGACCTACATCCTTCTCATACTGACGGCTACCACACAGCGATCGTAGGGACATGCTTGCAGTATACCAATGCTACTCTCCTTCACCGTTACTCCTCCTCACTCTCATCCTCGTCTCTCACCTTCTCGCAGCCACAAGGCCACAAGTGGGCCACGGCATAGCCAGGGTACTTCTTCGTGAACTCATCGTACCAAACTTGCCATGCATCCCATGTATCCTTCGTCTCAAGGTCGATTGTTATCCCCTGGTTCGGCTTCGGATAGTGTGGAAACTGCTCGAAAATCGCGCTGCGGAAGTTCTTAAACTCTGACCACTTGAGATAGTCGTCCGGTTCAAATTGATGGCCCACGCCCGTGCGCCGGTCGTTGTCGGCTTGGAAGTCACCTTTACGCCCGTGCTCTCCTTCTTTCAGATACGGGGCGGAAGGAGGTTGTTTGGGCTTGGTAGCGCGATGTGGTACTAGGCAGCGTGTTAGCGAGGTGTGCTGTATGGAGCAAGCGGAGTGAACAGCCGAGATAAGCTATGTTTGGACCGCCCCGGGAGGTACCAGATGGTTGTCAAGAAGTGCGCGGCAAATGGAACAACCCGGATTGCATCAGGAGTATTCAAAGAGAAGCTGTTACTTACTTGTGGTCTCATAGAAGTACGTATCGCCCTTGCGATAGCCTTGGCCAGATGTCGCTGTGAGCACGCGATCCTCATTACGTCCGCGAATGATTATCGAAGAGCGGTCGAGATCCAAAGGATTCATGCCAGTGGCCTGCATGAAAGCATCTTGGCGGGACCCTTTGGCGTTATATACCGATGTTTGTTTTTCCGTTTGCGAAAGCGTTGGTATGGTGTAGTCGACTAGGGTGCCTGTGAACTCATCCTCAGCCGAATGTCCGGTATTTGTAGCAGCCGTGTTTGTTAGTGCGTCACCCTTCTGAAGCTTCGCGTGTGGCCGGCCGTCCGGTGGCTCATCAGGTGCGCTCCTCTTCCGGTGACTAGATTGACGGGGGGTGCTACTGTCTTTGATCGTAATTGGCGAGTCATGTTTTTTGTTGACGGGTGTAGAGGGTGTATTGGCCTTTATTGGTGTTCTCACACTGGAAGATGTCGGGGTGGTGAGGGCCGGGAAGGAAACGGCGTCATCAGCATCATCGGCTTCTTCTTCTTCTTCATCTGCGACTTAGACTGTCAGTATACCTGCGCGCATTCAATACGACGGGAAAGAAACCTACTAGATAATGTCGACTTCGGATTGCGTCCAAGAGCAAGTGTCTCCTTCTCTTCGATCCAGTTCGCGAGCCTTGATTTCGCTAGTCCCTCGTCCTTCAGCTCTTGCCTCTTCTCCGCGCCTGCATACTGCTCTACAATGTCAAGTAAGTCGTCCACGCTGTACTTGAGCAGGCCCTTGGATAAGCGAGCGTACGGCCTCTTTTTGTTGCCCAAGCCGTCTTTGTTGTACAATGGAATCCTCAAGCCGTTCGCCTCGTAGAACCTAGCCCCAGAAGCCCGCGTCGGAGTGGAAGGTGTAGCTGGGGTCGTGCTTTTTGCCCTTGCCCTCGCAGTTGGTACAGTGGTACTCTTCTGCTTTGAAGGACTGCTCGCGTGGGGTTCAGGAGCTTTTTTCTTACCCTTTCCTTTGCCTTTCTTCGGCGTAGCCAAATTCATGGCGCGCGCGACTTCGTTGTCGTCGATAATGTTCGTTCGGTCCATGATGTCTCTAAGTTAGATGATAGCTGCAATCCCTGAGGATGTGCGAAAGAGTGGAGCAGATAGAACGAGAAATTGAGCAGTGTGAGATTGGTGGAGAGGCGGAAATCTGCGTTTGTCTTGGACTGCATTCACAATGAGGTGAAGGTCGTGATTACACCGCAAGAAAGTCTGAGCTCCGCACAGTACACACCTTCACTCTCGAACCGACCAAATACCGCGCGCTCATAGTGCCCCTGAACAACCAATGAGCGGGTGTTCATATGAGGAAGCGTGCAGTATTCTAACTGGCCGGGCACAGAGCAGTCGCCTTATGTGGGTCATCCGAGTACAAAGCGATTGATAGACGTGACCAAACGGTGATCATGAAAGCTGGCAAAACTACAAAGAAATCGCGTTGACACAGTGCGACGATTGAAAATACCGAAAATCGAAGTACACACTCCCAAAGTGTATAACGATATTCTGAAGCTCGGGTAGCTTGCATGCTGTCGCATGTCGAATGTCAGCTTTGGCTTGAGTGTATCGCAACCATGGTTCTCAGTAGCTTGCGTGATAATCTGCTCTTTTTCTCGTGCTGTCTGCCATGTCCTTCAGGGCACATTACGTCGAGGTACTGACAGAACACGGGATGAGCACCATGTATCCACGCTCTTTTTACACTGACACTATGTTTGTTCTGCCCTACATGCTGAGTCCAAGTATTGCAGATGCTCCGCGACGGGCGAAGTGATCCAAGTTTCCAAGGAGAAGAAGTAAGGAATAATATAGTGATCGAAATATGGAGCAGTGGCATAAGTTAGTGTACAGACTCTGCTGATTTGGCCACAGCGTCTGATGCGTCATCGCAGTACCGTGTTTGTCGGTGGAGGCTAACCATTCTCCCGTGGACATACTGCCGATGTAGTGTAGATGACCAGCATCGCCCGTATTTATAACCATAGACCAGGGCATGTTGCGATGGAAAGTCATAATCTGGAGTTGGGACGTCTCGCATCGCAGAGTCGAAGTTGGCAAAGAGTTGCGGTCGGCGTGCCACGTGAGACGAGGCGGAACCGACCGCCGATCTAAAGGAGCCGAGGCATACCCGCCTCCAGCTTTCGGATCGTCATTTCGCGACTCTCCAGTTCCATCACCAACTTCAACCTGCGCGTGCTACTGGCATTGCGTATCGTGCAGTCAACATGGTCCGCGAGGATATAATACAGTCGGCGGTGTCTTGTAGGTTGACGCACGACACGTTCTACGCGACGATGCTAACAGCCGCCAGTCCTCCAGGACCCGTCCGTTGCCAGCGCGCCCCTTGAGAAGCGCATCGCCTTTCTCCAATCCAAGAACCTCACACAAGAAGAAGTCGATGTCTCGCTCGCGCGTGCAGCCGAAGACCCCAGTTATGCTTCATCGCCTCCACCCCAGACATCCGCAGTAGCCAGCAATGCGTACAGACCACCACCGGCAGCCCCGTATGGGAGCTATCCGCCCCAACAATACTGGCAACCGCCTCCGCCGCCCCCGGAGTAAGCATAGAGACTATCTACATCCGGTTCCGATGCTGACAGATACAGACCGCCGAAACGCGACTGGCGCGACTACTTCATCATGGCAACCGTCATGGGCGGTGTAGGATACGGCCTCTACTTCACAGCGAAACGATACGTCCTGCCCCTGATACAACCACCTACGCAGCCTCAGCTGGAGCAAGACAAGGCCTCAGTCGACGAATCCTTCAAGCGCGCGTTCGATCTCCTCGAGCAACTCAACACCGACACAACCGCTCTCAAGGCATCGGAAGAGGCACGGACAACAAGACTGGATGACGCGCTTGGTGAGGTGGAGAGTGTCCTGACCAGCCTCAAGGAGTCGTCGAAGAGACAGGGAGACGACAACAGACGTATCGAGGATGACGTCCGCGGCTTGAGGGACCTGATTCCGAAGGCATTGGATTCACAGAAGGAGTCCACCGACAAGAGGCTGCAGGAGCTGTCAACTGAGCTGAAGAGTCTGAAGACGTTGATTGGCAACAGGATGAGCTCTCCGGCACCACCACGCCCACAGAGCACCTCGGGCTACTACGGACAAGCGCAGTCGCAATCGCAGACACCCAACACAAACGGCACACCCGCTGCTTCGGCATCGACACCACAGCCGTCCTCTACTCCTGCATCCAGCGAGCAGACCAACGGCACGAGCGCTACCGAGACCCAGACAAATGGTAGCGCAACGCCCGCGCCCACTCCCAGCCCTGCCACCGAGAAGCCTCTCCCTGCATACGGTAGGCCCTCGCCGGGACGCGCCGCTATCCCAGCATGGCAAATGGCTGCCGCGAAGAAGACCGAGGAGGCGAAGAAGGACACGAGCGAGAGCGGAACTGCGGTCGATGCCGGCGCCAGTGCGTAGAATGATCGTCGCTGTATCATCTGAGAAACGTTGTGCATCTTTGGCGTAGTTATTCTGCTATGTATTATTTGGATAGGGACAAACTCATGGTTACGCTTTGAAAATCATAATCTCTGTGGACTGCAATGTAACGCCTTGGAAATGCTACGTCCTATTTTCGGCGATGGATTATCCTGCAATTGGCTAGGGTTCTGCGTATACTCACCCTTGACCTACCTAGAGCGCGGCTGCGCATGCACGCAATATCAGCGCCCCAGTTATCGCTAAAAGAGAATGCATGTGCATCTCAAATGCGATGATGTGGTTGCTCGATTGTCTGTATCCCTACCCCTAACGCAGGCTAAGTCGCTCCCGGGCCAACGTGATGTCGTGACGTCGCGATGTCGCGTTTCGCGTCAATGCTCCCACCTAACGTCGACCAGCCATCTCAAAACAAACTTCCAGCCTCCAGCGTCATCGACATCGCACAGAAACCGATATCTCATGCACGATCGATCTCGCCAATCTGTAGCTCAGACAAGAGGCTCCACAC